GGCTTGAGGCTTAATTCTCAATCCACCTCACACTGGCATCCACATCCTCCTTGCTTCTCAGTAGTGCTTCTGGATGTTGGAAGTGACCTGCTTTCTCCCAGTGTATCTGTGAAACTCTGCTTTTATTAGAGCAATAATCAAGAGTTAAACATAGAGCTAAACATAGGTGATTGATTTATTTAACATCTTCAGCTTATCCTTGCATGGCTGGATAGGAGACACTGCCCAGCGCAGGTGCAGTGAGGGTGGAAAGTTGGTAGTGCCCATCTCTTCCCATTCCATCTGTCCTCGGTGTTCTCGATACCAGCATCCTCCTCCCCTGCAGACATGCACTGAAGGCCCCTCGCTGGGATCAACTTGGGTATTTAGGCATGGCCCCTCTTCCCTCCGTCCATGCCCCTCTCCTGTGGCAAAATCCATTACTACAACAGGGTTCTGTTGCATTTAAATTTGCACAAAACAGGTTTTATTATGAAATTCCCTATTGCAGGGAAGACTTGCTTATTTATTCCCGGCGATCCTTCTGAGTTTCCTCCAGTCTCTGCCTGATTCCACAACCAGCTTGTCAGACACTCTGGAGATGAACGTTCCTGCTCAAGGACAGAGAATTCTCACTGGGTGTCCCTGTTTGACTACAGGTAGCAAGTTCTGTGGGCACCAGCAGAGAGAGCCCTGCCACCACGGCTGGTCCCCTCCTGTGGGACAGGGGCACAGTGAGGGGATGTGGCTGCTCTAATGGGACCCTCAGAACGGTGATGAGTGGCAGGCATCCAGCTTGATTTAGTACTGCGGTCAGAGAGAGGAACTTGCTTCTGCCATGGTCTGGGTGAAAGGCTGAGAACTGATCAGTATTAAGATAAATCTCCGTTAGCGTATTTGAATGTCTCTCCCGTTGGCATGATGAAGTGTAGCTGGCACCCACGTGATGTAGATGTGAGAGCTCTTGCTTTCATCTGTCTGGTGGCAAATTTAGGCTGTACCTGAAAGGTTTTGTGTGTTTGTAGAAATGATGGGTAATTTTTTTTAAATGAAAATAGAAGGTTCTCGGATGCTGCTGCCTCGGTGGAATGCCGTTTCTTTTTCAGGGTGTGCCCCAGTTGCAGCCAGATGCTGCTTTTTTTTGTGTGTGTGTGCCTTTCTTGTGGGGATTATTCTTTTGGTTTCCAGAACACCCAGGGCATTTGCTCTAATAGTCTTTTTCCCAGTCCTCTGTCCTGGTGACTCTGCCCTCTCCCAGCCTTGTGACTTGGTGTCTGTCTGTCTGTTCAGGTATGGCCTGACCTGCATTTATGCCCTGCCACACCTTGAGTTCTGCTCAGAGCACCCAAGGTACTGTCTTTCTCAAATTGGAATTAATAATTAATATAAAAAGCTTGAAAAAAAATCTGAATTTTGTTACATAGTGTAATAACTGTTTGTAGATACTGTTCTGAGATGTAGGAATCTATTGGTGACATAAGAGGTTTTGTCTGTAAATAATCAGTTTAGAGTCCAAATGATTTTAATAAAGAGAATTCTTACACAATAATTCAATAAATTTTAATATACAACCTCTGTGTCATGCTTGTGTTGCATGATGATGCAATTACCCAGAACGTATTTGCCTCTTTTTTCATCCTAAGTGGAAACCATGCACTCCTGAGCACCAGGACCTGGGAGCTGTGTGAGGAAAGCGGGACTTTTCCCTCCTGCCCCCTCCATAGGCTGTGTTTCTTCAAGATAATCTTGTGCCACCTTCCACCTCGATCCCAGTGCTTCTGCAGTTTCCAGAGCTCAAATACCGTCTCTGCCCGCAGGAGGAGGCAGCCTCCCTCCACAGACACTCTGTTGGGCTGGCACTGAGGGCACGTGGCAGCTCTGGCTGTGGTCTCCCACCGCGGGTAAGGGTCGCTGAAGGTACAGTTTATGTTGGTCACTGTTGTCCACCAGTGTGAGGCAGAAACCAGTGCTCCTAAATTACCAAAACAACTTAATTCTAAATTAATTTACACAGTTCTTTCCAGACAGAAAGCTGGCTCCTGGCCCATCTATCCTCTTTTCTTCCCCCCCCCCCCACTTCCTTTACTAGCAGAGTTTTGGATAGAGTCTGCCTCTCCCTCTCTTTTAGTCCCTCCTCTCTGTACTCTGTGTGTTCTTGTTGCCTTTTAGGGGTCACAAACCACTTGTCCCCCCCCGTGCTGCCCTGCACAGCTCAGTACCCAGCCTGGTGCAGCCTCTGCCCCCTGCCTTGGTATTTTTAGTGTGGGGAAGGCAGGTGAGAGCAGAGGGGCACAGGCAGGGGGAGAACCGCTCTGGGAGGCCCCGGCCTGGGTTTGGCAGCCTGGAGCTGTAGCAGAGCTACTGCGAGGCAGGGTTAACCCTTCGCTGCAGGGCTGAGGCTCGGTCTCTGCAGCCTCAGCCAGGAAACCTGAGCTGTGTGAGCCCAGGGCCCCAGCGAGGGGGAAGCCAGACCATGCCCAGCTCCGGTGCGAGGCTACGGCATGTGGCAGTGGGGGAAAAAAATGTGATTTTTACTGTGTGTGGCCTTTTCCTCTCCAGTGTTGCGTGGTGCTGGGATGCTCGGGTTTCCTCAGGGCTGCAGTGAGGATGTTACTGCAGTTGCTCTGCTAGAGAGCGTGGGCTCTGTGGCCACCAGCACCATGCTGTGATGGTGTTCAGCTGCGTGTAGGCACTGCTGGGGAGGGCGAGGTGCCTCCGGTCTGGCAGTGTGGCACACAGGTGGGCTAGGGGAGCCTGTCCCCTGTGCCAGGCTGGGGATGGCTGTGTCAGGTAGATGGTGCTGCAGTAGCAAGTCCTGCCAACATACTGCTGGGAGCAGTGGGAAGACTGAGGCAGCCCTATGGTTTCTGGGTCTGAGGATGGTGGAGCAGAGGGGGAGGATTTCTCTGTTTCCATCTCAGCAGAGCTGTGAATTTCCCGCTATAAATAGTTGCTGTGGAGACTGTGGATCCACAGCAAGCTGACAGACCTGCTGCCAGAGAGGCAGGGAGAGGCCAGCAGTAAAGTGAATCCACCGCAGCTGTCTGAGGTCTCCTGCTATCCCAAAGCCAAGGTTGTTCCCAGAAGCGGTGCTGTGATCCGATACCCTGCCCCGCTCCTCACTGCGTCCATCCAGCGATGCACAAGAGTTTGGTCTGCTCAAGGACACCCCTCCCAGGGCAGCACAGACTAAAAGGAGAGCAGGACCAGCTGGTATCTCACTTTGGGAAGCTCCAGAAGGAGCCAGATGACAAAGGGAACGGCGTGCCCTGACCTGGAGCTGCCGCACGGTGAGTCTGCGCAGGGCCCCGGGGCTCAGCGACCCGCGCGCCGACAGGGCTGCTTGTACGTGTTGTGACTTGCAGGGATGCTGCGCTCAGCAAGGGCTTGTAGGTCTGTGTTGGTGCAGAAGATGAAGGTGTGTGATTCTCTGGTGAGCTCGGCCCATTTCTTTTAGCTGTGGATGTCCAGGTGTCGTAAGGCATTGCGGAGCTCTGTGTGCCGTTCTGTGCAGGTCAGGGGGAGGTGTCCAGGGCAGAGGTGACGCATCATCGCTCGCTGTCCATGGCTCTCACAAACCAGGCAGGACCAATATTTGGGCTGAAGTTCGCTGAGCTAGTCCAGGCCTGCAGCAATTCAGTGGGCTCTGCACAAAATAATTTGAATGACAAAAGCAAGATAAGTTGTATTTAACGTAAAGGTGTCGAGCAATGAAGGACTTAGAAACACCGAATGTTCTTTATCACAAAGCTTAGAAAAGCGTGTTTCCCTCTCCTGTACCAAGTTGCACAGCAACACTCTTCATCCTTTGCCAGTACTCCCATCCAGCTGGGGTGGATGGAGGTAAAGCCTTGCACGCCTAAGGATGGACTTGTCTTGCCTTCACAGCAAGAAGGGCACCAGGGCCCAGTGAACTCACCAAAAGCTCCATCAGCCCTAGTGCTAGGATGAGTCTTACACTCTCTATCTCTGAGTCCTATTTTCTTGCTAAAGTCTCCTATTACCATAACACTCCACCAAGGGAAGATGCTGTTGAACTGTCATCTCTCCAAGTTCATGAGTTTTCCTTTGACAGGTGAACAGTGAGTGGCACCATTAAATCTTTCCAGCTGTTCCCCAGCTCTCAGCACTCCCTGTCACTTGGCTCCCGCTGCCACCAGCCCTCTATAGTTATTTCTGAAAATCCTCTGGTTCAGAAGGGTTCCTAGCTTTAGCAACTTGATTTGGAGGATTTAAAGGTCAATAATTCTACCTGTGGTGATGGTCTATGGGGATTATTATCACCTGTCTCAAGCTCTGACAGTGTGTGTTAGCCTGAAGCTCGGCAGTACAGCAAGTGACATTTCCAAATTTTGAAGGGCTGGCTTGGGAGTGCCCCAGCTACAGCAGTTTACATCTGTATTGCATTAGCAACAGGGGCTCTGGGCTGCTATTTCAGGGGACCAGTGCTGAAGCCAGCTCTACACTGGTGCTGCAGCGTGGGGGGACAGCAGTTGGATTAGTGTGTCTGTACTGTCTTGGTGTTTGTACCTTGGGCTGTCATGGTAACAAACCCTGGGAGCAGCCTCTTGCTGGGATGTCACGGGATGGTCAGTGATAAACCCATGCCCTGGCCCTGGATCTGGGCTGTGGGCAGATGTCTAAAATGCAGTGCTGCAGTGTCTAAAATGCAGGTTCTGCTTCGCACCTCTCTGGAGCTGGGGCTCCTCCCGACAGCCAAAGCCCAAATGCGTTCCCTCCTCAGCTGGGATGGGGAGGGGATGCTGTCCCTGGCTGTGGGAGGGAATCCCACAGATCCTCCTAAGCCCCTGAAAATCCATACTGGACACAGGGAAACCTGAGACTCCCACCTGGCCCTGGCCCTGGCCCAGCCCCAGCCTGCCAGCTTTCCTCTTCTGAACTCTTAAAATAATCCCTGTCTCCATGAAGTGCCAAAAACGTTTTCAAAGCCTGGTTCTAGGAGCTAGTGAAGGAAATGAGAAGGAAAGGAGCAAGGGGACAGCAGGGGTAGAAGAGGGAAGCAGTGTCCATAGTGTGCAGCAGAAGTACAGCTGCTCTCCAGCTCTCTTTTAAAGGAGTAAAGTGCTGAAGATCACACTGCCTGTGCCCCACAACCTGGTTCCCTTCTGCCTTCATCCCCCCGTGCCAGGATCTGCTGCACTGCTGGGCCATGGAGGAGCAGGTGCAGGAGGAGATGCTGCCAGCCCAGCACACAGGTCAGTCCTTGGGCATGTGGCTCTAGAGCTGAGAGCACGCCAGGTTCGTCCCAGGCCGGAGGAGGTCACCGGGACCTGTCCAGCTGTCCTCAGCTGCTCCTTCAATCTTAGAACATTTAGAGATGTCACTGATGTCTCTTGGCCATGGTCCCTGCAGGAGGCCACCACCCCGTGCAGGAGGGAGAGGTGTTCAACACGCGATACCAGGCACTGCGCGAGCTGGGCTGCGGCGCCTTCGCCACCGTCTGGCTGTGCCAGGACATGAGGTAAGGGGTGAACTGTCTTCTGGGGAGGTGGGAATGGGTGGCTGATCACCTGGGCAGGACCAGAAGCAGCAGAGCGCAGCTGCCTGCCTGGGAGCATATCAGCATCCCCAGGCACGGGAAAACCTGGCAGTGAGATCAGCAGAGCTGGTCCCCAGAAACCAAAGAACATAAATGAGGTGGGATCAGCCCTCGCTCTGCATTTTCTTTTCTCATTTAGACCCTGCAGTATCCATGCTCTGCCTTTTCCTCTCCAGCCCCTTGGTGGTTCCTGGGGCAGCTGTGCTGCCAGATACTGGCAGAAGAGATGCCCATGGGCCTGGTGTGCTGCAGACCGAGGCCAAGGGTGCTTGCACAAGGGCAGCACCCTCCCTGGGAAGCCCAGGGCTGGGTGACTGGGAGAAGGGGCGGTGCTGCATGTTAGGGCCACTCTAACATGCATTGGCTGGCAGCTGTGGTTCGTTTCCCAGGAGGAAGAAACAGGTAGCTGTGAAGGTCCTGAAAAGCAGGGAAGGCTTTGCTGATGCTGCCCAGGATGAGGTCACTCTCCTCCGCTGTGTAAGTAAATTCTGGGGCTCTGTGCTTTGCTCCAGAGTTCAGGTCTGAGTATCAGCCTCACCATCCCCTCTCCCTTCAGATCTCAGTATAAGGTGCTAGGTGGAGAACAGGAAAAAACCCACAAAAATTAAGGAAATTCATAGAAATCACCGTCTTAGCACTGGCTTCTGCAACAGGAACCTCCTCCTTCCTCCTGTCATACTGGGACATGCTGGTGTGTCCCACTTGCCCTGTCGGCCCATTTCTTTTAGCTGAGACTGAAATCCAACAAGTAGGAGGAATCTGCAGAAGGATAAGGTAGATAATCAACAGAAGAAGGTGGTAACGTTCCTAAAAAGGAGATGGGAGTGTGTGCTGTATCTGCGTCATTCCCAGCTCAGGAGACATCCCTCTATCGCAACAGAGACTGAAGTAAAAGGAAATATTTGCAATAGAAAAAAGTATGATGTAGCAAAACTATAATAAACGTCTGAAGTCAGAAAGCTTCTTCCTGCCTTTGCTAATGGTGGTGGTAATTAAGTGTTTGTACCTGTTTCTCAGTGAGTTTTCTTTGAAGGTGCTTGGGCTTTAGCTGCTAGTTCTAGAAAGCTCATGGTTACAATTCTTTAAGCTTGCCCAAATACAAAGTTACATCAGTGTCAGATGAGTAAAAGCCATTAAATTTTACATTTAAATTACTCTGTGGCCTTTCTCCAACAGGTTTGAGAAAGGTTTAGTTCACACTTGTAAATCTGCAGGCCCTATCCAAAGGGACATGAGCCAGATGCAGTGATGCAAGAGGAAGTACCAAGTGGCACTAATTTAATGTAATCAGAGGGCTGCTTTTCTACACATCAGCACAACCCTGCATACAGACCGAGCCTTACCCCTGATTTATTAGCAATTGTCTCTGAGAGACACGCCTGCCCATTCAGCAGCATACAGCTGGTTCCCAGGGCTGTTCCCACCAGCACAGGGAGGTCAGTGCCTGCAGAGCTGCCAAGAGAGGCAATCTGGGCCCCTGTGGCTTCCAGGGCTGCTCACCCCTGTCGTGCCAGCACAAACCTTTTTCACAGAAATTGCTGAAGGGATAGTGGGAGTTTTAAAAGGTGATGTCCCAGCCTGCTGCTCTTAGCCAGGGAGGGACAGAGCCATCCCTGCTCTGAGAACAAGGAGTAAAGGCTGCAGAAAGGCAAAGGAAATAGCCATTGCTGCTGGGAGCAGGCAGCTGTGTTCTTGGGGAAATCCCCTCTAGCACAAGTAGGGGCACTTTCTGGGTCTGCATGGATAGAATAAGCAGCAGAAAGTCTGCTAGACACTATCAGCAGGATCATTGTGAGTTATTTTGACACTGTGAGGGTGACGGTCCCACCTGGGCAAGAGTGGGACAACATGCAGAAACTCATTCCTTGGTAACAGACTCTGCTTGTGTGCTTGGAGCATTTGTTTTTTTCTGATGGTGTTTTCATGGGATTTGTCATGAAGTGCCAATTTTTGGAAGAGAAAGTCTGTTGAACAGGATAAAATAGGTGCAAGGTGTCCTTGTGCATATAATGTCTCTAATTGCAGCTTTCTTGGAATTCTCCCCCTCAGGTGAACTGTATGAAGAAGAAGGACCAGGCAGGAGAAAACATCATCTCTTTGTTAGATGACTTCAGAATGATTGGAGAGAATGGCTTCCATATCCTTCTGTGGAGAGTGTGGCAGCTCTGAGCCAGCCAAGCCTGGGCACATGGAGGTGGCTGGAGGGAAGAGGTTTTTGAGGAGAAAAGGAGGTATTTGGTTGCTCTGGTGAAAGGCAAAGGGCTGCTGGTAGGACCTTCTCCCTGTTAGTGAATCCCTGACTCTTTCCCACATATGTGCCTGGTATTTGAGGTGCTGGGTCCTTCCCTGCGATGTCTGATGGGAAACTACACAACCCAGGGACTGCCTCTGCCTTTTGTGAAAAAATCTTTACAGCAGGTGAGAATTTAGCTGGAACTGGGCGAGGGCACCAAGGGACTGTTGGCTAAGGGACATGCCATGGTCTTCTTCCCAAGGGGATGGACGTTACATGGGCTTTACTTGAGTGATACTGCCCAAGTTGCAGCCTCCTTGGGTTTGGGAAGAAGTCAGGGCCACCACCATGGAGTGCCAGCAGACCTGCACCAGGGAGTCAGGGCCAGCACTTCTGTTTCCGTCATCTCAGTAATCATGGAGTTCTCCAGCAATTCTGCTGCTCGTAGGGGTACCAGGGGGCAAACAGCCAACAAGAGTTCTGCTTCTTGTGGGCAAAACACATGTATCTGTGCCCTCCTGCTGCCCTGAGAAGTCCCTTCTGGCAGCAATGCCAGGCCATTGGCATTTGCCTTGGCATCAAGCCGCGGGTAGCGCTGTCAGCTCCAGCAGCTTTCTGCATGGTACCACTGAAGGCTGCTCAAGGTCTCTCTTCCAACCTTCCAGGAATTTCTGAATTGCTGATGTGGTTGGCTGGTTCTCCTCCCATGTTGAGGTTTTCCTGCACAGAGCCAGCTCCTCCTTCATCCCCTGTAAGGATGTGGTGTGCCACTCAGATTGTGAAAACTGAGTTTCTTATGCACTGGCTGTGCTTAAGGCATAGGGAACCTAAGTGAGGCCTTAGAAGAGTTAAAATTACATTTTGCCTCTCATGCTGAGCTTTATCAGAAGTCTGCACACTTGCCAAGATGAAGATTTGCTACGCTGATTCCTGTGCCCTTCTAGGGACAATAAGGAAGAAAACTGCTTCCTCCATCCTTTTTTTTTTCTGGAATAGCCTCTTCTTTCTCTAAAGAAGCTCCACTAACACCTGAATATGTTACACAAAAATGTAGTTGCATTCATCTATGTGCCCCATTTTATACCCAGGCCTTTTGCTTGATCCATTATCTGCTTTAATTGTAAAATCTCAGACCTGTTTCCCCCCTTTAGATCAGCACTGGAGCAGTATTTACTCTTCTGATTCATTCCAGTTTAGTTATTTAAATCTTTCCCCGCGTTTCACAGTTACCATTTAAGGTTGGTATTTCCCTGGGGCTGGTGTTCATCCCAGAATAGAATTTGATAATACAGAGAATATTTGCCAGCCCTTTATGACTGTCCAGAGTGTTTAAAAAACAAACGTAACTGTCCCTGTAGCATTTTTGCTGTTATTGATTTCTGATAGTGACTGTTCCCCTCTGGTAGGTGTTATTTATCTCTTCCTCATGACAGGCCAGGCTCTCCCTGCTCCATCTAAGGCTGTTCTTTCCCTACATGGCTCTCCTGCAGGGCCCTGAAATCCTCTCTAAGCACTCACTCATGATCTCTCCCACCTCCTGTCTGGGTTATGCTGTGCCTCCTTCTTTCCTTGTACCATGGCACACCCTCCCATGCCGTGTCACTGTCATTCAGATGGCAGTTGGGGGCTGGTTATAACCAGCAGGAAGTCACAGTGGTCCTAGGCCATTAACAGCTGTACAAACAGGAGTGATTTTTCAGAACTTCAGCTAAGTGATTGCAATGCCTCCTCACAGCCCCATCCTCCTCCCATCTTCCCGGGCTTGCCCATCCATGGTGGTATCTGTGGATTTTCGTGCTGCCTTTTGCTGCGTGTCACCCCAAACAGCCCTTTCCCCACTGGGCTCCCCAGGCCCCAGCTGGGCACGTGGGGCTCTGGTGCCTGCTCCTCCTGCTGCGTTGTGCAATGGAACCCCTGGAGCCTGCTCCCACAGGGCCACCCCAACAGGAAATAGCTTAGGGCTGATGGTTATCATCAGTACCAGAATGCCCACAACTACCCTACCCGCTGTGCCTGGCTGCTCTGAGCTGCTGGGGCAGCGGGGGTTGGTGGGGCCCCTCGTGACGTGCTCCCTGCTTGCCCAGGTGCTGGCAGGGCTGCACTTCCTGCACAAGCGCTGCCGCATCATCCACGCCGACATCAAACCGGAGAACATCCTGTTGTACGGACACGACAAAAGCCTCCCAAGGCCTCTCATGGATACGCTCGGCTGTGGCCAGAGAACACATGTGAAGCTGAAGGGAGCGGGTGAGCACTCCAGGGGTTTTTCAACATGTTTATTGCCGGGAGGGAAAGAGAGAGGCAGCAGCTACAGACACTTCAGGAAAGGTTCCCATCTCCTGCAACAGCCAGTACAAAACACTACAGCCAGCTTGTGCTGCTGAGAGCCCCCTCCTGTCTCTGCCTAACACAAACATCAGGATGAGCGACTACCCAAGGCACCTACAGAAATGTGGTTTTGCACGTGGGTTTGTGTGCAGGAAAACTACAGGTCACATGCACCTGTGAACAGCCCCACTGCGGCCTCAGAGCTCACTCTCATGGCTCTAAGTACAGGACAGTTCCCTGTGTCTGGTGTTTTCAGCCACTGAAAGGTTTAGATACGAAATGGTTCGATCAGAAAACTGTGTGACACTTCTGCTCTTTATTTCCCGTATTTCTGAGGTCTGTGGGAGACTTGTATGTACTGCTAATCTTCAAGGCCTTTTGAGACATAATTTATTTGCAGGGAATGGTGTGAATATTGAATAAGATGTCGGGCTGGAGCGTTTCTCAAGAGATTAGCTCATCTCCCAGCCATGAGACCTTTCATATTATCCCTGCACTGTGTTCTCCCATGAGCATTTCTCCCATGACAGTGCTGTTTTGTCTCTCAAGCTCTGAGGCAATCAGGGAATCCTAAATTAGTGACTGAGTCTTTTGCTCAGAGCAGAAAAGCACAGCATTAGGCATAGGCTGACAGCTCACTGTAAAGCACTAAAGCAGAAATTACTCTTTTCTAGGGTCATATGAAAATGTAACCTTCATGGTGCTTGCCAAGCAGGCAGCATCCAAGGTCTGTGAGAGCCAGGCTGCTGAAGGCTGAGGAGGAATTAGAGATGTTTTGGTTCTGATTAGTGCTGGTAGGATATGTTCTCCTCCGGGCCCACCATAATTTAACCTTGGTGCTAGAGGAACCTTGGAGCAGGACAGGAGCACATCACACCATTTAACTCCAAGCTACCATCCTTCCAAACATCCTCTTGTTTTCACTGGATATCAGTGCTTCCTTTGCATTTCCTCAAAAAACAGAGGTGGCCTTTGATTGATGCTAAAAAGCATTTTAGGACCTTTTAGACTGAGAAACTTTAAAGGCAGGGGGACATGCCTCTCCTGTGGTGATGTGTACCTGTTGGTTCAGAAAGACACGATTTCTCTCTGTCCTTTCCATCTAGAAGGTGATCTTGGCAATCAGTTGGAAGAATCTGACTTAATGAGCATAGAGGTGAAAATTGCAGATCTGGGCAGCGCATGCTGGACAGTGAGTTGAGTTTGCTCTGAGTCTCAATCCTGTAACAACCCTGGAGGCTGTGTGCTCCTTTCCATCCCACCCTGCATGTCCGTCCCGTTACAGCTGAGTAGCTATTTCAGTGCGCTGAAGAGATGCCAACTTCGGGGAGGGTTATGTTCAGCATTCCCAGCTCCAAGCTGGGCACTGTGCTGCTGAAGACACTGTCAACTTTGGACATTTCTCCAGCTTGCACTTAATCCCTGCAATTAGAAATTCAAAACTATATTCAGTGTGAAACATTGGGAGGTAGATTCCCCCTGGTGTCAGTGGTGCTGGGAATGTGTTGGCTGTGCCCTCTGCAGAGCTGAGAACACATGTTCAGTCCTGTCCTGTGTCCCCTCCCTGTGTGGGAAGCCTGTGACCACCAGTGTTGCTCTGACTGGCTTATGGATGCCAACTAAAGGGAGTTTGTTTCTGTTTCAGTACAAGCCCTTTTCCAAGGAGATACAGACCCAGCCATACCGTGCCCTGGAAGTGCTTCTTGGATTAGACTATGGCACTCCTGCAGATATCTGGAGCACAGCCTGTCTGGTAGGACTGGGGACAATGCTGTGCATGCAGGGAGGCGACAGACACAAACTGGCCAGGCCAGTATGTCCTTGGCACCCACCTTTTCATGTAAAGCAAAGCCTCCTTGCTGAGAAGGCAAAAGGGGCCGCCTGCACTCGTTCGCTTTGGGGCGAAAGCGTGCTGCTGATAAAAACCACTCCTAATTAGCTTAAGCTCTAAGGCGATTCACACTCTGTGTATGTCAGACTGAATCAGGCACATGCTGCTTTTCATCCTGACAGAGCTAAAGGTGCTGTTTCACTGTGGTAGAGATCAAGCCAGTGTGCCAGTGTATTTCCATATTTTAGGATCAGGTTTGTGTGATCACAAGGGAAATCGATGCTTTCAATTAGTGGGGAAGAAAAACTCCAAGACAGTGAATTAACAATGCTACTCCATTTCTAGGCATTTGAAATGGCAACTGGAGAGTGTCTATTTGATCCTCAACCTGGGAAATATTTCTCCAGAGATGATGGTAGGACTCCATCAGTTTTATTCATTTCACTGACAGAAGTGTCACAACCATTGTACCTAGATGTGTTTTCCCTCCTCTGTCTAGATCACGTTGCTCGTATCATCGAACTCCTGGGAAGAATTCCTCCTCAAATTGCTTTCTCATGGAACAAGTCAACAAAATTTTTCAGCAGGCCAGGTAAGAACAAGAGTAAGGAAGTTTACTTTAAAAATCACAGTGGACCTCTGACACACTCCTACTCAGCTCACAATGAAACACCCCAAAAGTTATGTTACACAAGACAGAGATTTCATAAAGAGCAGTAACACTCCCTGCCCTGCCTACCTCTGCAATCCATGAGCATTCCAGGGATGAATACCAAATCCTGAAAAACAGTCATAGCAAACACCCAGCACGGAAAACAATTCCATTCTTTCTTCTTTGGATGTGGAGAGAATGGAAATACAGACAGGAAACAGCTACACACCAGGAAGGCTGAAGAGTGTGTAACTGGTTGGATTTCACCAGTTCACTGGCAGAGAACAATGATGACCAGGAATGGGACACTCATATCCTTCCAGCATGGCTGCTATATTTAGTCTTCTGACCCAACTGTAACATCTTTTTTGTTTCATTCTCCCCAGTTCCTTTCCCTTTGACTCATCCGTCTTGAAATTCTTGTCTTTGACTACACCACATCACTCCACCCTTCTGCACTGTGGTCTATCATCCTCTTTCTCTGCTTTCACACTCACCAGTCCCACAGCCTCAGCCTACCCGCAGCTCATTCAGTGCTGAGTGCTAGTGCCATGCTGGAATCCAACAAGCACCTCCCTGCACATCCACACGCTTTGCTCCCACTTATTCCTTCTGTGGTGCTCAAAAGAAATGAGTCAAAACTAGTTCTGCATTCACTCTCCATGGGAACGAACCTGGCCTGACCACACACATTTAACCTGAATCATGCATTTACACCACGGGCTCCCAGGGACGAGGGCAGCTTCTCGGTCAGTCGTACTCTCCTGGGCCCCACGGAGCTGGTAAACAAAACGAATTCAACATTAGTGTCTTGTGAGCTCTGAAATAGCCAGATGCATCCGGGTGCCTGTGGGCAGGCCCAGGGAACAAGCAGCAGCGGCTCTGGCAGGGCTATTCTGGGAACAATTTGCGCACTCTTGGCATGTTCTCAGCTAGGAAGCGCTCGGGAACGGGGAGCCTCTAAACACTAGGTTGGGAAGATGTAACACCCGAGAGCCAAAGCTGCAAGGGGCAGCGCAGGTGGAGGTCACAGAGGCGATGCCAGGCGGGGACTTCTCAGTGCGCTTTGGGTTAAGGCCGAGGCGCGGCCCCCTCAGCCGCGCCGGTGTGACTGAGGGGCCGCGCCCGCGCTGTCTCCGCCAGGCGCGCTCCTGCGGCTGTCCCGGCTCTGCCCCCGCAGCCTCCCCGGCACCCTGGCGGAGCGGCACGGCTGGACCCCGCGGGCGGCGGCCGCCTTCGCCGCCTTCCTCCTGCCCGCGCTGCACTACGCGCCCGAGCGCCGCGCCAGCGCCGCGCAGAGCCTGCGGCACGCCTGGATCACCGCGCCGTGACCGGGCCCGCCGGCGGGGCACAGACCGCCCGCCCGCCGCACCCGCTGCGTGGCCTCCTCCGAGCGGCCCCGCCGGCCCGTCCCCAGCGCTATTCCGCCACGCCCGGGCTCCGCTCCTCTCCTCCCGCGTCCCTGCAGCGCTGCGGACCGCACGGAGCGCTCCCTCCGCGCACCGGGCGGAGCCCTCCGGCCGAGCTGGAGCAGAGAGCGCCGCGGGGCCCCTCCTCCCGCCGAGGGGCCGCCCCTCCGCCTCCCGGCCCCGGCGGCCTTTGTTGGGGGTTCCTGGGAGGGAGTCCGGCCGGCTGTGGGTGCGCTGGCCCCGGCGCGGGCGGGGCCGGTCCCGGTCGCGGCCCCGGGCGGTGCCCCCGGGACCCCTCGGCGGGAACCCCCGCCCCCCGCGCGCGGACGTGCCGCGCGGCAGGCCCCGCGCGCGGCAGAGCCGCGCATGCGCCCCGAGCCCTCCGCCCCGGCGCTCCCGGCCGCCCCCCGCCCCGCCCCTCCGCTCTGCCACGTGTCCCGACGCGGGAGTCGCCCCGCACGCCTCGCTCGCGCCCCGCCGGCCCCGCCCCCGGCACGTAGCGCGGCTCGCCCGCCGGGCGCTGCCGCAGCCCCGCCCGCCCCACCTCGCGCCGGAGCCGCCGCCGGCTCCCCCCCTGCTCTGGACTGACGGCCCTGCGCACCAATGGGGCGCCGAGACCGTTGGACGAGCGGCGGGGCGGGCGCGCGGCGCGCAATGAGGCGTTGGCGTGGGCGGAGCCGCGCGGGCGGGCCACCAATGGCGAGGGCGGGAGGGCGGGGCCGTGGCGGCCGAGGGCTCCCCGGCGGGGCGGGGCGCGGCGCAGCAGCAACCAACGGGGAGCGCCGTGGGCGTGGCAGGGGCGCCCCTGGCGCCGGCGCAGGGGATCCCCGTGCGCCCAGTGCCGTTTCCGCCCGGCCCGGGGAGAAGCCGCCGCCGGGGGAGGGGCCGCTGCCGCCGCTGCGGCCGAGCGCTCGCTCCCGCCGGCCGCCCGGGACACGCTGTGGCGCCGAGCCGGGCCTGGTGCCGCGCAGGGGCCCGGAGAACGGGCCGGCCAGGTAGGCGCGGGCTGGCGGGAACCAGCCGTGCCCGGCGGCGGGGGAGGGAACGCCGGGGCGGGCGGCGGGGCGGGCGGCCGCGGGGGCTCCCGGCGCGGGCCGTAGCTCAGCGCTCCGCTCGGCGCTCCTCGGCGCCCCGGGCGGCAGCGCCCCGCCGTGCCCCCGGAGGCCCGGGCCTGGCTGACCCGGCCCGGCGCGGTGCGCGGGCATCATGGCGGGCCCGGCGGAGCGCGGGCTGGGGCTGCTGGGACCGGTGCGGGGCCGGTGCAGGGCCGGGGCTGGGGCGGCCGCGGGGCTTTGTCGGTGGAGGCGAGCGCCGGGGAAGCCCCGCTGCAGCCCGGCCTCCACCGCGCCCCCTCGTCCCCTCATTGTCCCGCGGGGCTGCGGGGATCGTTGTCCGGCCCGGGGCAGCCCCCTCTGGGCCGCCGCTGCCCGCCCCCGCCGCCGGCCCCTCCGGGCCTCGAGGGAGGCGGCGTTTGACCTGCATTTTCTGCTTTCTCATGGTGCCCGTGCGGCGCTTTCCCCCCGTAACTCGATGCTCCCGGCGCCGGAGGCTGCAGCGCGGATCCTCCCGAATTTGCTCGCCCGTCACCGCGGGTTGCCCGGGGGGGGTTCCCCGCCGCCCTGCCCGTGCCCCGGCCACCTCCCTCCCCCGCCGGCACCGGCAAGGTCACTGCCGGCCGGCGGCTCGTCCTTGGGTGCCGGTGACCGGAGTTCACCGCCGGGCCGGGCGGGGAAGCGGCGCCGGGCACCGTCTGGCCGTGCCGGGGGGAGGGAGGGCGGTGAGGCCGCGCGTGGCTCGGGGGGAGCGGGGGAACGGGTGTCGCAGCGAGGGGGGTTCGCAGCCCCTTCCCGGCTGTGTCCCCGCGCTCCTCTGGCACCAGCTGAGATCCTGGGGGTTCTCTTTAGGGGGGTGAGCGGGGTGTTCTGCGGGTCTGGAGAGGGCACGGGGCGCTGCAGGGCTGCGGTGGCTGCTGCGGGCTCGGGCCATGATGTAATGGGAGCGCTGGGGGCACGGCGGGGGCGAGGGGGCGAATCCCTCTCCTTGGGTGAAGGATGCAGCTGAGCCTCGTAGAACTTGACGCTGATGTGCTGGTATATCATGGATTTCAGGCGACTGCCCCCACCCCGGCTGGGTGTTGCTGCCAGAAACCTAAACCCAGAAAAGGAATTTCTTATTTCTTCAATAATCAGAGATTCCTCTTTTCACTTGTATAGGAAATACTAGGATTTCTTTTTTTTCTGTTTCTTGTGGTTGACCCAGGAAGTCATCTTGTCGCCAGCTTTCTGGGTTCTTTTTTTTTTTTTGCTGTAGAGGTGCAGGGAGGAGGGTGTTGCTGTGCTCTGGATCCTGTGGGTAAGCGTTGAAGGCAGTGACAGCAGCTGCTGTTGGCTGTGGAGCTCTGGTTGCTATGAGAGAAGCTTCACTAGACTTGGCTGCTATCTCCAGGGAAGGACAGCAGAGCAGCCTCCATTAGTGTGGTGGTGGAGGGATGGCTGGCTTACATTCAGCAAAGGGCTTTACTTTCCAGGCCGTTTCCACAGGTCCAAAGCAGAAGCAGGGGTATGTTTTGGTCTGGTGGGACAAAAACCTCCAAGGTGGGTTTTGTCGCTGTTCTGGAGTTAATGGAATTGTGTTAAATTGTGGGCTGAAAACCCCAAGTCACCCTTTCCACATATTTTGGTCTGTGTGAAAAGTAGGACAGCGAGAATTGATATGATCTTCCTGTGAAGTGAAGGCTGCAGTCGTGTCTCTTTTGAACTCCAGCCTTCTTCTCAGCCAGTAACAGAGCCAGATGCTTTTCTTATTGTTTGTATGTCTCCTTCCTCCCCTTCCATCGCCTGGGCCCCACTTGCCTTATTGACTGGAATTTCTGCTGTGTGCAGTGGGTGTGTGCAGCAGACACCAGCCTGCTAGTGCTGAGGAGGGATTTTCCATTCACAGACCAGGGAACAGTCAAAATAAAGGCCAGGCTCAACTTTGGGACTGGAAACAGAAAGTGGGGAGAAGAGTTTCCCTCTGCTGCATAGTAAAATCTATTCTCTGTGCTTCTTACATGCTTGTAATGTCAAAATGTACAGAAAGTGCTCCTCAGCTGTGGAATAGGGAGGTGAAACTCCTGTGAATAATGGGAAAGATTCCTCCCTTTCGGTTGACTGAAATGCTTGATGAAGGAACAGTTTGCAGGAGGCCATTTTTGACGTGACTCTGTATTGTGGAATCTGCCAGCTCCCATCCACACTCTGTCTGCCTGACTGCAATAGCTTCCTTTTTTTTTTTTTCTTTTTTTAAAGGAAGAATGAGTGCCTTTCTTATCTGCTTAACTAACTATTTGGCACTGGCCACTGTCTGTATGATATTGTGTTGTTGAGCTGGAGCTATCAGCATATTCCAGTGCAGTTTGTTAGAGATGAAACTGTTAGTTGAGGTATGCAGCATGGGAATACATTAGCATTAGGAAACGCTGCCATCTCTGTAAACTAACACCTATCATGGGGAGCCCCTTGCCCTGGCCCAAGTTACCCAACTCAGAATTACTGTGAGCTTGAAGCAAAAATTCCAGGACCAGAATAATGTGAGAGAGATTAAAATATGCCCTTAAATCCGCTTGACTGGCAGCAATCATGTGGTAGATTGCAGACTCTGAGTAGCTTTTGTATTTGAGGATCTGTAGCACCCAAATTGTTTCACAGGGTGAGGTGAGCAACTTCTAACCCCTAAAATGCTTCAGTCTTTGGGGCTGAAGGTGTCATTTGCTGCCTAACATGAAGTGATATGATAACAGTAGTGAACTCTGGATTCTGTGAGTATGAAAACTAGCTCCTGGGTTTAATGAAATACAGAAAGTGATCTTCATGGCCCCTTAGTCTTTGTTTACAGTCTCTCTGTAGGTTGTTTATAGTCTCTCTGTATGTTATAATGGGGAATTGGTCCGCTGCCTCATATTCTGCTGGATAACTGGCACCACTTTGACAAGGCCCTGGCTCTTCGTTTTACTGTCATATCCCAAGTGACCTGAAAGTAATATTCCTTAGCTAATGTAGTCTGCGATTTCCCCACTGCAAGGTGGGGTGAGGAAATCCCTTGTACATTTAAACTATTTTTTAGAAAGAGGCTCAGTTCCAGCCAGATCTTATTTTGAAAACTAATAGGTCAAAGTTGAAAAAACACACAGAAAAGAGATGGTGGTGAACTGGCATCTTAGAACATGCAAAAGTTTGTGCTCTTTTTCTAGGGGAATAAAAGCAACTAGCAATCATTGATTTAAGTTTTCCAAATGTTCCCTGAAGTAAAAAAAAAATAAAATAAAATTTTTAATTCAAACTTCAAGGTGCAAAGTGTGCAAGGGAGAATTGAATGTGTGATATCCCAGACATGTAACTTACTAGTCTATGCTTTCTCCCATTTTGGATGATCAGACTTTTACAAACTTCTATTGAATGATGTGATGAGATAAAAATGTTTCTATCTATTCTGGCAATACTAAAACAAACATAATGAGTGTTCGGAGGTTTGAAAATTCAAAAATCATTGTTCTCATGGCATTATTGCTGTATTACAAAAGCACGTTTGTGTTTTTACTCTGGTGCTGCTTGTGTGTGTAACTCTGAAATTTTGCCAATGAAATCTTGTGTTATGTGCAGAGTATGAGAGAGACTGCAATAGGCAAAGTGTTCTTTTTTGTACAAGATTTAGTAGCAGTGCTTGGGTTGAAAGCGTTAAACGTGTGCTCAAATGTTAAGCATGTGAGCTGTTGAGTCTCAGTTGCCTCTATGAAACTTAAGCTGCTGTTTGATTTTAAAATAAAGACTTTGTTGCATTTTACTTGTCTATTTGGTTTTTTTTTCCTCTTCCAAATTAAAAGAAAAATAGCTGTGGATATTACAGCTGTTACAGATTCTACAGCCAGTCTTTGGCTCCCATGA